TGCACCTCAGCAATTGCTGATGTATCTCCTCTTTAAGAAGTTTATAAACTTTTCAGTGTAATAGTATCAGATAGCTTCCATATCTCAGTCATGAAATTAATCTTGCAAGGATTATGAGATTTAAGTGAAAGTTCATACTTATTCATTCCTATAATCAAATAACTGACAGCTTTAATAGTGAGCTAACCAAACTGGCAGCAGATGAGAAGCAGCTCAGGAGCTTAAGCTTGCATTCAGTGAGAAGTCTGACAGAAGGAAAAAGGAAAATCATTTTACTGTGTATCCATCATGTAGGAGGAGGGTTTCATCTTGGTAGACAGAGGATATAAGAAGAGAAACCTCAAAGTGCTCAACAATGTTCCCTAAATGTCAGAGGTCTCACCCAGGGAGCCTCCATTGTATTTTGAAAATAGCAAGAGTTTGGAGTCTAACTTGTCTATGACGTCTCACCATGGTAAAGCTAAAAATTTGAGCAAGGTTTTTGGAGCTTGCACAGGAGTACCTGTGCTTGAAGGTTTGTGGTTACTGCATGGAAGGGGGGTGAAAGGCCTGCCTACATGAATGGCAAGGTTTCTATTGCTACAAAATCAGTCAGGAACAGCTGTCTTTACAGCATCCTTCATAGAAGCCAAACAGTGTAAAATAGTACAGTAAAAATAATGTGCCAACATATATATTTAATATATTGAGGTACAAGGTCACTTGTAGGTTTTTTTCTAAAAAGCATAAAGGATGAAGAGGCAGACTGAGACTTTTCCAGCTCGAGTTAAAATTGAGATATCAAAGTTTCTGCATTTGTAAAGTAGTCTCACATTGATAAGATTCAGAAACTGAACAGTAGAAGCATATCCTCCCCTAACCTAAATATGCCATTTCAATAGCGAATGACCCACAGACACCGTTCATAGGACAGATGGGGAAAAGGTACATAAATGACTGATTGATGTAATGGGCAAACCTCAAGTGCTTATTCCTAATACAGATTTTGGAATATAATTGCTGTCTTCACCTACCTAAAACAGTCAGACTCTTTGGGAAGTACACAATAAAGGATGTGAGGCAAAAAAAAATAACAAGAAACAATATATTTCAAATAGAAATAAGTGAACATTTATTCACTTATTTATTCACAGTGAGAGTGGCCAAGCACTGGAAGAAGTGCAGTGTGAGGCTGTGGGATCTCTGTCTCTGGAGGTATTCAAAACTCAACAGGACAAGGACCTGAGAGACTTATTCTGACTCTGAAACTGGCACTGCTTTGAGCAGGAAGTTGCAGAGATGAGCCCTGAAGGTGCCTTGCAGCCAAAACTCTGATGTTCTGGTCAGTTACATGTCAAGGGAAGCAAAAAGTCATCCTCAAATTCCATACACAAAATAGCCCCACTCAGGAGCAGCCATAACCCAGTCTAAGTCACCAACTGATTCATGATATCCTGCACAGTTTCCTTCAGTAAACCCTGATGTAGCATTTGTTACAGACCAAACCTTCTAGGAAGAAAAAAAAAAATGTTACTTAGGAAATCTTAACTGTCTTACAGTTTTGTTGGGGTTTTTTTATTAAAGATCCATCTTAGAGAAGAAGAAATGATGATTTCCACTGTTCAAAGAAGAAGACAGCTGACTTTCCATAACTTGGATGGCATGAACTACTATTCAGAAGAAAAGTCAGAGATATTCTGTATGCATGAATGAGTGTCTTCACAAGGCATAAGAATACACTGTTAGCCTAATGAGTGTCAGCAGGCACAGCTCCACCAGCCACGACAGGGATATCTCATTCACCAAGAGCTGATTTTGGCCTATAGGTTTTAATGGCTCCTTGAGGAGCTGCTGTGGTTGATAGTCCTGACTTCCAAATCCTGAAAGCCTCTTCTTTATGGATGATCAGGATGTACCTAGCACTTCTTATTTCTCTTTGCTTTCAGCTGAAAGGAAAATGCTCTGTGCACCTGCTGAAACACCAAGATATGTGCTGTGACCTGGACATGTCCACACACGAACAGGAGTACAGAATTTCTAAGTTTATAGCAATCAGCAATAAAAACTCAAATATGCCTATACTGAAATTAAAGTCTCTGCATTATTTTTCATTATCTTCACATTCCTATCTCAGCTTCACATGAAACAGAAAGACCTCTGTAACACAAGTATGAAAAGGAAAGGAACAACACAGGCTCCTTTTTGTTTGATATTGTGGTTAGGGGAGATGATGGGCTGGATTTTTTTGAGAGGGGAGTTGCAACAACCCTGGCAAACATTGAAATGCTTAAAAATCCTGTATTCCACATGTTATTCACTGTTCCAATAACTAGAATGCTCTCCTATGGCAAGTCACTGCATTCCTCTGGGTCTCCCCTCACCTCCCATAAGGATTCTATCAGTCAGAAGGGATAGCCACATTCCTGATGATCACATCATGCATGTAACTTGCTGTAAACATCACCTTTTAGCCCTATTGAATGATTTGTTCAGCTATTAATTATTCAGCAGATATTCTTTGCTCTCTCAAAGGATATTCCTTTTCTGCAGAGGGTTGTTAGTGTCATTTTTGGTTAAAGTTTGATATTATGAAATTGCATCAAAAACATTAGTTTCCTCCAAAAACTTTATTATTTTTTTTATAACTTTATAATTTGTTAGGACTAGTTTGATTTCAAAGGCTTAAAATAAAAATTGAACATGGTGGGATCACAGAATAATTTAGGTTAGAACATCACCTAATCCAATTCCCTGCTCAAAGCAGTGATACCTTTGAAATAAGATTGAGTCATTTAATCCCATGTCCAGTCAAAGTCTGGGAACCTCCAGGGATTGAGTAGTGTTCGTAAATTTAACCACTGTCACTGTGAATAATGCTGTTCCATACATCTGGTCAGAATTTAACTTACTGCAGTTTGCAACTGCTGTCACTCATTTTATTTTGCAGCTGCAAGAAGATTTCAACTCTGTCTTCTCCATAACCTGCATTTAGATGGCTGGGGATAGCAATTAGTTTCCCACAACCCTGAGGCCTTTTCCATGCAGAACAAATCCAGTTCCCTCAACATCTTCTCATCTGTAATGTGCCACCTTAATGGCCCTCCACTGCACTTAGCTGCGGTTTCTCAATGTCTTTCTTCTACAAGAGGGCCCAAATTGTGTGGCATCACAATTGCCAAATAGAGAACTGCTAGCTTTTAATAAGCTTCAGAGTGATCTTAAAGGTTGTCTCCAACCTAGCTGATTCCATGATTCTAAAGGTAACATTTTCATTGCTTGGCTTGTGAAAGTAATAAGGTATCCAGAAAAGGGCTCAAAACTCCATGATAAGCCTGCTGCATAGTACTGATGTCGTTCTTATGGGAGAACTTATTTTTTATGGTAAACACCTTTATTTCTCAAATCTTTCTGTAAAGGAAGTCAAGAATCACAGAGCAGACAATAGACTGTCTATGGTGAGTATCATTTATTATCTTATATAGCTAGTAGTATAAGACATAGCACTAGAAAGTGTAACCACAATGAAACAAAGCTACTTTTCTTTGCTTGTACTTTTTTCCTTATTTACTCATTAATTTATTTGCTTGGATTTTCATATTTGTGATATCCTGCTAATCTAAGTAATTATGCATCAGAGTATGTGAAAATTGGAGGCAGGCTGCATTTATCTCTCACTCCATAATGTTAGCTGAGAGAAATTAACCAGCTCTGCCAATTATTTGCCAAAAGATGCATTACTAATAATTATATTATTAGTAATTTACTAGTAATCAGTATTCAGTATGTGGCTGGTACTGCTGGTAACAGCACAAAAGAAGTTGTTTGCACTTCTGATGCAAGAGATGTACAATTTTATCAAATGTACTACAAGCTGATAGAATTCAATCCCATTTAAGAAGTGAAACATAAAAGTGAAGAGAGGTTTTACACCATGTGGGTTTTTTAAAATGGGTTAATTGGGAATTCTGAATTACCCTCAAAAAAAAAAAAAAAGATTGCCTCTCTGGGGTTATACTCAAGTCTATCATCATCACGGCATGGAGTGAAAGTGCTGGGGGGAAGTATAGGAACTCCTGTGCATCTGTTCTGCTTCAGTTGGATACCCAGATCCCATGAAAAATGCCTTTTGGGGGCAAGATCAGACTGAACGGGGCTTTGAACAATCGGGTCTGTGGAAGGCGTCCTTGCTCATGATAGGAGGGTTGGAACTAGGTGACCTCTCAGGTCCCTTCCATGCTAAGACTGCACGAAACGGACCCCCCCCGCCCCCGGCCGACAGCCTGGTTCTGCCCGAGCCGAGAGCGGGGACAGTTCTTGGAGAGGGCAGGCGGTGGATACTGGGCTCCCAGACCCAGCACGACGAGCAGATGCCACGGGCAGCCGGGATTTCTCTTCCCATTGCTGCACTCTGTACTTCTCTGCGCTCGGGAGGAGATGTGATTTCAGGTAACTGGAAAAAAAAAACAAAACCTCCCGACTTTTAAAGTACTCTCCGCGATTCGTCTTCTCTTGCTACCTAGATCGAGACGTACACACATTTAACAATCAGGATCCAGCAAAGAGGCAACGCCAGCATACCCAGACTGCACGGACCCGGAATCGGCATCCTCCCCCGCGCCGCTCCTGCTCCCCTCCAGGAACCCCACAGCTGCAGAGGTCAGTGCATCTTTCCTCTTTCCAAAGCGCTCGGTCCCGTCATGAAGGGGAGGGGAAGGCGTTCTGCTTCTTGGGGAGCATCCCAAAGATACCGGCTCCGCCTGAGGAAGGGAGTCCCGCGGTCCGCCGCGCTCAGCGCCCCTCCGCTCCTCCTCTGGAAATCTATGCGCGCCGCGCAGGGGTGGCTGCCTGGCCGGACCTTTGGGTTCCAAGGTGAGCGCTGTCACCTTGGGGTGGTCATTCTGGGGGAGTCCGAGGCTGGGTGCTGACACCACATAGAGTCCATCGGTGTGGGAGGAGCTGGTAGGGGGCTGCTGACTGAGCGCTTGGTGACCTACTCTTGGTCCTGGCAGGGCAGTGGCAGGCAGCGGATGTGGAACCTTGGTGGCTGGATGCAACAGAGGGGACACGCTTGAGAAGAGCACGAGTCTCACATTTTTCCCCCCACTTCCAAGGCATTCCCAGCAGCAGTGGCCTGGCCACCTTCTCCTGTGGCCATGGAAAACTCCTCCCTCCCCAGGACCAATTCCTCACGTGCAGACTGCACTGAGACAGACGATGGGGGTCTGAATATGTCCACTCCCACACCAAGACCCAGCTTCTACCTCACAGTGCCAATCATGTACTCAGCCATATGTGCTGTGGGGCTAATAGGCAACACCGCTGTCATCTATTTAATCCTCAAAGCCCCAAAGATGAAACAGTCACCAACATCTTCATCTTCAACCTGGCTGTTGCTGATGACCTCTTTACTTTGGTGCTACCCATGAATATTTCTGACTACCTGCTCCTGCGGTGGCCGTTTGGAGAATTCATATGCAAGCTCATCATCTCCATAGGCCAGTACAACACCTTCTCCAGCATCTGCTTCCTCACTGTCATGAGCATTGACTGCTACCTGGTTGTGGTGGCCACCACCTAGTCCAGGAAGATGTCCTACCGCACCTACCAAGCAGCCAAGATTGTGAGCCTCTGCATCTGGACCTTTGTCGCAGTCATCATCCTGCCCTTCACTGTCTTTGCTAAGATATACAAGGAGCAGGGGCGCTCCCAGTGTGTCTTCATGTTCCCACAGCCCGAGAGTGTGTGGTGGAAAAGCAGTCAGATCTACACCCTTATTTTAGGCTTTGCCACCCCAGTGTCCACCATATGCATCCTCTACACCACCATGCTGTGCAGACTGAGATGTGTGCACCCCCATTGCAATGCAAAAGGCCTGGACAAAGCCAAAAAAAAGGTGACGCTGCTGGTGGTTTTCATCCTGCCTGTGTGCCTGTTCTGCTGGATGCCTTGTCACCTTAGCACAGTGTCCCTCTCATAGTCATCTGCTCTTCTCAGGTGACTGCAGCACAGAGTGTGCTTTTTCTCCAGCCTCCTTCTGACAGCCCACAGGGCTTCAGACTGTGTCACTACAGAAGACACAAACTGGAGACTGGTGGATCCTTCCCTATTGTCCTGCACTCATTTCTTCAGCAGTGCTCTCCACCCCTTGCCATGCTTTTTTTTTTGTTGTTGTTGGTTAGTTAGTTTGGGGTTTTTTAAATCCTTTCTCTCTAATGTGCTTTTTCTCCTATGTTTGCAGCTCACAGAACTGCAGCAGGTCCCTTTTCCCTCTTTTAATGGTATTGCTTTGCGAGCTAAAGCCACAAGACTGTCTTTTTTCATTCTTTAGTATTAATTTATGTGTTTATTATTTATTTTTATTATTTATAAAGCCCAGTAAAGGTGTGTTGTTGAGTGTCTTGCTTCATGATTCCTCAGCCTCTTCATATCCACAGGGCCTGTTTAACAAAAGCCTTGCAAACTTAGCAACATTGAAAAAGGCACAGCTCCAAAGGATAAGGAATAAACCAAGTTATCATGCTCATTTAATTTTACAGGGGATTGAGATAAGGTAAATCTGTGATAAAAGGCAAGGGAGACCTCGGTTTGGCTTTAAGGAAGAAAAAGCAAACCCTTAGTAGTGTATAAAATACGCAGATGTGGATTTGGAGTCACTTGTGAGAAATAGCTTAACAGAGTACTTGGTCGCTGTAGTTTGTAAAATTTGCAGCTGTTGTTTGCATCGGAAGGGGTTTACTTTTTCTATTTGCCATATGTTTATGGGCAATCTCCTTCTGGCACATACAGATAAATTATTTATTTTTGGTCCAGAAAACAGAATTGGAAGGTGTTTTCAGAACACATTACTCTTTAAGGTTTTGAAAAGGACTTGCTGAGACATGGGGAAGATTCCGACTTCTTCCCTACAAACCATAAATCAAATATGTGGTTACTTTTAACAGTCTCACACACTCGTACTCTGCTTGCTGGTGAGATTTATGACTATTTCTCTTAAGGAGGACAAAGGAAGTAAAAAAAAACCCCACCCAAAAGAGTAGGTTAATTTTAGCTGCAGGAGTGGGGAGAGGGTCAATGAGAATTTCACTAGCATTCACATGTCCAAATACTGCACGAGGAGGTGGTTTGTTTTTTTTCCCCTCTTCTCTCCTCTTTTAGCCCTCTAAACTGACAAAATGTGGAAGACTGGGAAAATATCTGCAGTCACTTGACATTTCTCATCTTAGTGGTCTTTCCTGTTATTCCCGATGCTAAATCAGTGTAACAAAAATTTGGTTATATATTTCCCCTTCCACTGAATATGGAGAGATGGAGAGATGTGGCCAAAGAATTCTGTTTCCACTTCCACTTACACACTTACAGGGATGATGGGTTTCAAAAGGTACATAGTGATTAGTGTGTGGCACAGTCTCAGGTTTGCATGTGCCTCCTGAGAGCCCTTGCACGAGGTTCCTTTCCACTGCTGCAATCTAAAGTTTGAAGAAACAAAGTTTCTTTTGCTAAATCCTTCCAAAGAAACTCCAAATAAAACTTCTACTTGCAGATACTAGCAATTATGCAAACCCCAGTACATTATAGTGCCATATAGCTGGGTTGATGCTTAAATCTTCTCTCCTTATAAGCCATTAATGTTCTCTGAGACAGTGCTAATTTCAACACCCAGTCTAGCTGTCACAGAAGTGACATGGACTCTACTGGGGAGCAACAGTGTCTAATTCTGCTTCATTTGAGGGTGTGCGATTGACTCCTCTCAGACACAGACTCTGGCCTTTTAAAAAGCAAGCCCAAAAGGTGTCGAGAACCCATTTCCACACCACGTATAAAAGTGTGCTGCAAGAACACTGTCTCTCACTTCATCTTTCTGCCTGAAACAATAGGTAATTAAGCTTACCCACCAGAGCTGCCTGCTGTTTCAGCTGATGGGTAAGCTTTCAATTGTAAATTGTAATGATGCTTCTCCTTGGTCAATCACTTGCTGTGGAGAAATATGTTACTCTGTGTGGTCCAAGTAGCAAAGCCTGTCTTCCTTTAAGATACTAATCTGTATGCACACACCACCTCTCTAGTATCCTTAAGCTATCATGCCCACAACAACTTTATTTGCATAAAGACTGCATACAGTTTTAAAAGTAAATCATTATTCTCAGAAAAGACATTTTCAAGATCTCTGTGCTCTTGCTGGTTGTTGACCCTTCCCTGAAGACTGAAGAATGCCAGAGAAATATGGTTCTCTGTCAGCCACCTTAAGAAGTGGCACAATATTGCTCATGATAGTGACCACCTGAACGTTTTGTCTCATCACCTGTCAGGGTTCCTATTTACCCTAGAAATGTTACTGACACTTGAGTAGCTCTACGGTGCTCCTGCAAAATGTAGCCTGTGTCTGTATATGAAGTGTATCTCTGAGATGGTCAACTGATATTAGCAGTAGGTTACAAGAACCATCTGACTTGCATTTCATTTTTATCCAAATACCAAAACTCTAACTCTTCCTGAACAATATAACCTGGTTCAAGATTTAAACAAACAAGCAAAAAACTTTCTGATTGAGATCAGTGTGAAGAGATTTCTTCAAAATCTTCCTATCTTTTAGGGAACAGGGAAGTGCTTTAAAGTATGCCTTTCCTCATATTCAGTACCTCATCCCTTTGTCTTCCATACTGAATTCCTGTTGTCTGCAGGGGAATGTATGAGAACAGTTGCTGGTGTAAAGTAGGGATACTCAATGGATTATCACTTACACTGGTAACAGGCAGCCCACACATGGAAATTAAGAAAAGAAGATAACCAGTACAGTCAATAAAACTAATCAGGTACAACATCTAAAGTGAGCCAGCAGAACAACAGAGCCCACTTTAAACTAGAAAAGGTTCAAAGTAGTAATAAAATTAATAGAGCAGCACACACAGCAAAGCCTAGTGAAAAAAAGGAAGGTAAGTGCAATGCAAATAAGTGATTGCACATATGTGATCAGCATTTGAAAACATCTAGCATCTGTAAGTTTCTTTGCACCCTTTTCATCCAGGTGGATAAGGTAAAGGAAGCCCTTGGTGAATCACTGTCACCCAGCCCTGCAGGTGCCAGGGGAGATGCAACAGGTCACTTCACATCCAGATGGTCTAGTCAGCAGCACCAGCTTGCCTTGCATCTGCAAAGTACTTGATATAGTCTTGAGACCCATAAGCTTGGTATTGTGTAGTCTTTCACTAGAACTGGTGTGCCTGCAAGAAAGCCTCATAAGCTAAGACAGGAGAGAAGTGTCACTTTTTCTGTATAAGTGAGTATTCAGCTCCCCTCCACCCCTCTCCCAACACCATTAAACAGGAACAGGCCTCCAGCTTGTTGTGGGCTGTCAGCACCAAATTTCCTCAACACCTTGGCTTCTGACACACATGCGTTGCTTTTCATTAATATCTCCCTATAGTCCATATGTAGCAAGCTGTAGAGACCCAGAGAGTAATATTGTGTGATTGTCAAGTATGTTTACCTAGAAGACCTGAGTGCATGTGTCCCTGTGGCTGAGGCACATTCTGGGAGCTCTGGAGACTGAAAACCAGATATTTCTTCAGGCCCCTGAGTTCTCTATAAATTGTTATAAAGATCACTCTGCATATTTTCCCAGCAGCAGCACAATTTTCCCAGCCAAGCACCCCAAATCTCTAGTTCACCACTGACCCCTGTGCTCTTTTGGGCTCCCTCAGCAGACTGCTGTGACACCACAGGATGTAGGCAAGTTTCTCCCTCAGCTCAGGCAAGGCATTTTAATCCATATGTGCTTTTGCAGCACCTCTAGCCCTGAAAGCTGACATAATGGGCTAGGTACATCATGCTATTTTTCATGTTCCAGATATGCTGCAGCACTGGACAGCCAAAATAGCCCACAAAATAGCCATCTCCTCTGTCATATCTGCCTCAGTTACCTATTAAGCTTTGCACCTCTATCAGCTGTATTTTACTGGCTTTCAAGCATCTCTGCAATTATTTGTTCTACTGCATAAAGCTGCCCTGAAGTCATGAGCAGCACATCAACAAGAAGCAGGCAGATGTAAGGGGAGCACTCAGCATCAGAGAAAAATCTTATGATAACAGGCTAAAGTGATCCCTGTAATTGGGTCTAGGAAAAGACATCCTGGGTTCTGTCTGTATTAACATAAAGCACAATAAGAATAGATCTGTTCTTATGAGTGGTGGTAAGTGCCCAGAGTCAGTGCTGAGTGTGCTTCAGAAGTTTCCACACTGGACTAGCTGCAATCTGACTGCACAGATGCATCAGCAGTTGCAACACATTGCATGTTGCATGTGCTGCTTTAATTTCACCCAAAAAGGACTTCAGCTAGCACATTTTTAGGCTGCTTTACAGAATGGACCAAATGGTAGTAAGGGGGAATGATCAGAATATTCACTTCAAAAACACTTTCCTGGCTGAGGTGCTGACATGCATATATCCCCATAGTATCACAAAATTTCACAATCCAGGTTCAAGAACTTCCCACTCTTAGCAGTACTAGGAAAACCAGGATCTGCCCCCTAGTTCCTAGCTCTGAACAGCTGATAACAAACCGAGCACAAATGCTAAGAGCACGTATGCTGATTATAACATATAACTATGTACTACTCAATAGGAAATGAAATGTCATGCAGTTATTTCCTGACTTGCTTACTGTTCAGGCTGCCTGTCACTAGTATAACAAGCTAAAGTCTTGAAAACACTCTCCATGCACACTACTATGACACAAGCAGATTTCTGGTCCCTGTAGTACATCTGGATGGCACCCTTCAGATATCTTTTGTTGGGCGTATCTGGCAAGGAAAAGTCCATCCCCAGAAATGAGCATTTTTTCATTAAACAATGTGAAATAGAATCGTAGAATCATAGAATAGATAGGGTTGGAAAGGACCTTAATCATCTAGTTCCAACCCCCCTGCCATGGGCAGGGATGCTTCATATCAATGTCACCCAAGGCTCTGTCCAGCCTGGCCTTGAGCACAGCCAGGGATAGAGCAGCCACAACTTCCCTGGGCAACCCATTTCAGTGCCTCACCACCCTTACACTAAAGACCTTCTTCCTTATATCCAGTCTAAACTTCCCCTGTTTAAGTTTGAACCCGTCATCCCTTGTACTATAACCACAATCCCTGATGAAGACTCCCTCTCTTTAGATTGACTCTGCGAGCTAAACTAAACTCATTTAAAATATTTTCCTTGTTCTTAAAAGTCTCTAAGAATCAATTTCTTTTATTTCTCTCCAAAGAATGTTACCTTTTTTTGCTCCTTTTAATTAACTAAAGGTTGTTTTTTTTTTC